TTCCCCTCCTCTGGCTATGTGTTTTTCCATATTAACGTGTCACTCAATAGGAGGGGGGAGAAAAGCACTTACAGCAGCGCAGGGTGATGCTGGTCGATTGACCGCACCGAAACGCTACTGCGAAATATTGAGGCCGCTGCGGACACAGTGTGTGTGTCTAAAGTAACAGCTGGTTATCAGATGGTGACGAGATTCGAAAGACTATATCGCATGCAGGTTTCTATGTGCCTCTCCTGCGGTAATCTGAGCTAAACAGTTGCCATAGGGAGTGGACTGCTGCAGGGTTTTTTTGCTTTTCTTGAAGTGCAAGGTAGTAAGCGATCTCACTGCTTGCGTGCTGGGGTTTCCAGGTTGTTTCTTAGAAGCCTCCTTACCACTTATCCCAAATGTTAAAATCCTTTTTTCAGTGTTTTTATACTCATAGTGAATCCTGTCTTGTAATCCTCCTTTCTGCACACCTTTTCTAGTGAACGGGTTCTGTGTGCTTGTTTTCAAGGTCTTGTATTACACGTGCCCTGCTTAACATTTCTGACCTGATTTGCTGGTTCTCTTGGCCTCATGGATTTGTATTTCAACAAATCTAAGTCATTGCATTCTTCTCACGAGGCTGTGTACAGCTACTCTTGCCATGCCTTGCATTGTCATTTAGCTTCCTTAGTGTTTATACGTTTCCACCTGTAGTCAGGCAGATTCTTCTGCCACTGCTACAAAACGTTCTGCTGTGCAGTCTGGACATGTGCACCCTCATGCATCTTGTTTTTCAGTGCGATCTTTTTCTATAAAGTCTATAAACTGGTGCTCCTCTTGATGTGTATGCTTCTTCTGTGCTCTTTAACAAGCAAATGATCAATTTCACAAATTCCGGGAATCGAGGAAGGTTGATCCTGTGTTTGTGTAACACAGGATGTTCTGATTTTGCACTTCTCTGACTCTTGAAACTTAAGTTCCCCTGAAAATACTTGTGCCATTGAAAACGTATGTGCCTTTTGCCTGTTCTTTGGATTGTGGATCTAAACATGGATGGGTTGGCCTATTTTGACCATCAAATACAGGTCATATTTGGGTGAGAGTGACCTTGATGGACCCCGCATGAAATGAGAGGCTCCCAGCTCCTTCATGTGGCACTTCTGCTGTGCCAAAGTGACTTGCAGAAGTCTGGTTGCTGATATATGTTTCTGATAACAGATATAAGTGCTACTGTGGTAAACAAAGAGTCGTAAAGAAACCTTTTAGCAGCTGAAGAATATATCCTGTAAATCTGGAGTTCCTGAATTTTTGTGGCTTTTTTTCCCCAGGATTCTTCTAGTCTAGCCATGGCTCTTATGGTCGCTCCTTTGTTTAAGGCTAAAGGAAATGGTTTTGTTGAGCACTTGGCTAAAAGAGAGAGGCTTTTGTTTTTCAACTTAAAGATGACATTTCAGAACTTCTAGGTTTTTCTCTTTTTTTTTTTTTTTTTTTTTAAACACAGAGTATCTGAGGGCTTTTCACTAGCGTCCTCTCATATTTTACCTAAGTACAGGAGCACATATAGAGGAGTGTTCTTTCTCTGACATCATCTGGCATGTATGATGTCCTGGAGAAAGGAAAGTCAAAGATCTGTTTTGGAGCTGGGTAAAGGATGGGGAATCTCCCTAGAGGACTGCAGAAGAGTACCATAATTTTGGTCTGGCCTCTCTTCTACCTTTCCCTTACCTGGGCTCAGATGAAGAAAAAAATTGCTGTCTACATTTCGTTCGGTTTAAAGCTTCACATTGGAAGAACACTAGCTAAAATTGGCAATTTGAAGTAGACAATCGCCATTACTAGATATGTACTACAAGGCTTAAATATGAGGTTAACCTAGGAAAAAAATGATTAATTACTGAGATGAATTTCAGGACTCTCTCTTTTGGGAAGTGATGACTAGGAGGTGTTGTAAACGTGAAGTCACTCTAGTTGAGCCTAATGAGTTTGAACTCTATAATTGGAAAAAGTCAATTTCAAGGTGCGCGTGAGGCTGTTAGATGCCTGGTGTGCTAGTGATTCCTAATTCAATTACGTAGATTTAAAAAAAAACTTCACGGTTTGGGAAGTATGCATTGCATAAATCAGAATTGCAATTTAAATGCTGGACCACATTGCAATACAGATTTTTACTGTAATTTATTCTGATTTGGCTGCTGTGGAATCATGCTAAAGATATTCCTTGGAATAGTTGGAATTCATGCCGTTATACTTTATGCACAACTGAAAATCTGCTTCACAGTACACTGTTCATTATGAATAGAAAAGTGCATCTGGGAAAGATGGAAAAATGCAGCCTGGTGTAGTAACTAGTGGGTAGAATACAAAACACGTGGTTTGGGTGTTTTTGTTTTGAAGAAAACTTCGTAGTTGGTCAATGTGAGTAGTTAACATTAGATTAAGAAAGTAAGATAGTACAAGCGGTTGGTTAGCTATATCTAACTTCCTCAGAAGCAGTGCTTCAGAACAGAAAGATGGCATTGCACTGAGTATGACCTCTTTGCAAATAGTACTAGAGTGAAAGGAGCAGCAGAGAAGAGGAAGCAGTCCTCCCAGACTTTTATAGACTCCCGGACTTTGCAAGCGAGCTTGCAAAGTATCTGGGTATTGGTTCCTTTTGGCAAACTGTTCCAACCTTTGTGGTGGTCAAAAAAAAAAAAAAGGCAAAAGCTGATACACAAATACACAAAAATTGTGGAAAAGAATAGTGTCGAGGAAGGAAATTAGATTATAACCATATCAGTTTTATTTCTCTGTTGGAGTCCAGTTCACTCTCGTTCTTTATTAACTGTCAAATATTAATGCAATTATAACCTTAAGATACAGGATTTTTATCTTCAATAGATGCGGAGAGAGCAGTATTCCTGCCCCGCCACCCCTCCAGATCTTCACTAGCCTGTTGAATGAAAAGCTCTTTTTCCTCATGCCTTTGAGGGCCCATATAGATGTTCTCAGGTCATTTGCATAGACCCCTAAACCCTTGTGGCTTTAGAACAAACCTTTGTCAGCTCTGAACTTGTGACTGAATCGAAGACCTACAGCTTGTTACTATTGAGTCACCTCCCCCAGAGCCAGTTTATTAGTTGGGAAATCTTCCTTTCTTGGATTACAACATCAGTTACTAAGCAGTTTCAGGAGCTGTATACATTGGGAGGTTACTTCAAAATAAAACAGGGTATTAATCTTAACTGAATAGCTGTATAATCTAGGATGGAGGTTTTCATTTCTGGAGTGAATGCTACTGCAAAACTGATTAATTTAGCCAAACTGATTGCCTAGACAAACCTCATGGTTTTGAGAAGGGTTGAGTTTGGGAACAGAACAACCATGCTACTTTAGAGTGTCTATTGTTGAATAACATTTTAAAAATCATAACTGAAGGTTGCACCACTAAAAAGTAATGTTTTGCTGGCTTTCTTGGTTCTGTGGGGAAAATTCCTTTGTCTTACGGAAACAAGGGACCCAGAAAACTTCTCGTAGGGACTGGTTCTATAGCATTCTTTTTTCCTTGCATTTCCACCTCCCTCTCCCAAATAATCTTGCTCTGACTGAAGGATCTGAGAGTGCTTTGGAAGCCTGTGCTTTGGAATAGAAAATAAACGTTTTGTGACAAGACAAGCAACTGATATGAAATAAGCTGTACTGACCCAGAGTTTATCCACATTATGTGCTGATCCAGACTGAATGTACTGAGTGAGAATATATATTTTTTATAGATCTTGGTCATAACTAAACTATACTTCCTTTTTGCTCTTTCTTTCCTTCCTCATTCAGCTGTATTGCCTGCCCGCTGCTACTCTCATGGGTCACAAGAATCAGATGAAGAATTTGATGCTCGCTGGGTGACATATTTCAACAAGCCAGATATCGATGCCTGGGAGCTAAGAAAAGGTATGTTGCATGAAAAGGAAAGAAGTACCTATTACTGTAATATGGCAAAAATGCTACTACTATGCAGTAGCACTGTGACTTATTACTGTGACTGTAACTTATTTTTGCTGAACTGCTTGAGAGCAGAAGTAGTGTGTTTTCTAGAAAACTTCTTAGCTCGATTTGTAGAAATGATAGAGGTATGTGGCCACTGATCCAAGTAGTTAGTATCTTTATAAGTCAATAATGCGATGGATTTCACTGTCACTTCAGTATGTGCTTATAACTGAGTACTAATGCAGAAGGGGCCCATCTGGAGTGTTTGGATCTTCACAGTGATGAATAATTTATACACTTGTATTAAAAAGCTGGTTCAGTTCTGATTTGCTTCTATGTACAATTGTACTGAAAGCATACTGTGTATCCCAGAGGGATAGCATTCCCAAGCATACCTTTCTTACAGACTGTCAAAACTGGGAATTCGGTACAGGAGAGAAATGTTGTGAATAACCGGTCAGTGCAAGGCAATATCTGAGCTCTTTCCCGTTCTGAGTCATCTGGCTGATCAGCCTGTGCATATGGATTGGCTTGCTGATGTTTGCTCAGCTCTAAACCTGTTGCAGCAAGTGATGGCACTTCACCAGCCACGCAAGGATGCTGGAACTAGGATGTTCAGAATGAGGGAGGCTGAGGGTACGAGGTGGTAGGAATCCAGGCTTTTTTAATTCTAATGCCTCCAGAGTATACATTTTAACACCATATTTGCGGGGAGGGGGGTTGGGGGGATACTCGCTCTGAGAAGAGTGTATTTGAGCTCAACTGTTGCTCAGTGGATAACTACACAAAATATTTTTGGACTTTCACTAGAGGGCTTGGCCTTAACTCGCTGTAGACTGTTTGATTGTCTCCAGCTATTGTTTGCTGTGGAGTTGCCAGCTCCTATTAAACTACCCCAATTAAGGCTTATAAATGTTTGCATAACAGCCAGAGGGCTCATCCGAAGATGACTTGGAGGACTAGGTATTGAGCCCTTCCCTTTGAAAGGAGAGGAAGGGATTAGACACAGCTCAAGTTCTAGTTTCTTCCTGCACCCGTAGGAACAAAGTCACTTAATTCCATTACTGGCTTGCCACAGTAGATACGTTGACTCCTTTTTGGAGCATAGGTGGAATTGGCCCACTGGGATTTCACGAGGCCCAGTTAAAATTTGGTTACGGCTATAGTAATGAACAAAAGTGAGATGGAGAAGAGCAAAATAAAACACTTCCTGGTGGTGGGGAATCCGGAATAGCAGTGAAAATTGTAAAATTGTAGTCAGATTCCAACAGTGACTGGTGATGTGGTAATACTTAATGCTTTCGAGAGGTGGAGCAAACCATGCTCAGCAGGTTCCTTTTATTCGCATGATGACCTGATGACAAATTAGTCTTAATGCTTCCTTATATTCGTAGGCATAAATACACTTGTGGGTTATGACCTGGTTCCGGAACCAAAAATCATCGATGCAGCTTTGAGAGCATGCAGACGGTTAAATGACTTTGCCAGTGCAGTCCGCATCTTAGAAGCTGTAAAGGTAAGTGGAATGATAGTACAAGGTGTAACTGCTGCTTTGGCATTGCTGAAAGCCCTCTAGAGGAAGAGGGATTTTCCTGTCTTACTGCAGACCGTAACCCACAGTTTCCTGCTTCCAGAAGCAATAGGTTGACCGTGATCACGTGGTTGGTGGTTTAAAATACCTTTTGTGGTAAAAGGGCTCAACAGCACAGGAGCACAAGTATATTGTTCTTATTTTCATATTTTCCTTTCCTGATACTGACTTTTTGATCCTTTCTTCCATTGAATAAACAGGCATCTCTGACCATTGCAGTCCAGAATAGAATGGGGGACTTTATTTTTCCTGTTTCCCCCTATGCAAAACTGTAGTGGGGAAGTCTGAAAGACCTTTTTTCCTTTTTTTTATAAGCATTGCTAGACTGTCCAGGCGAAGGAGACCTTACTGGCTTCTTTTGTACTGAATACTGAGTTGGCTGGGAATAATGACTTAGGAAGCAAGCTAGGTTTGAAAAAGAGCCTTGAAACCTGAGTCTAGGCTTCATTCAACAGGGAGTTAAAATGGGTGGGGAAGGAGGCAGGAGCTTTTCTGTTTAAGTCTCGGAAGCCAGCAGCTATAATCTCCTAACTGATTGTTGCCAGAATGCCGAAGGGCTGACATGGAGGGCTTGAGTGCTAAGCTGTTGGATCCAGTTGCTTCAAGTAACTCTCTTCTGCAAGTAGTTGTCTCAGTTCACTATTTCTGCTTTCAACAGCCTTCTGAAGAACCAAAGTTCTTTGGTGGCTTTAGAGACCTAAAACTAATGGAAGAATCTTTCTGTGTGTGGTTTCTTTTTTGTGTCTTTCCTTTTTCCTGTCCTTTCATCCCCTCAGGTAGGGGATAACTCAGTTTGTGGGGAAACCTAAGGCTAGTATGCGGTCTTCCTGAAGCTTTGCCTAAAACTGTTTCAAGGGGTGATATTTTTCCCTAATTCACAAGCGAGATAAATTTTCTTTTGGGTCTGCCCATAAACTGATTTTATTTTCCTACTTTTACAGATTGGATATTGTTTTCATTTTATTTCCTAAGCAGTCTTTGGGCTGGTTTGCAAAGCCTCCCTCCTTTAAGGAGCTACTCCTTTAGTTTTATGTGTTACAACACATCGCATGAGCCTGATGTTGAGCGAGGGAAAGGTCAGTGTTGTTAATACTCTGAAAAGCCCCCAAGCTGGGAGTTCAGCACTGTTCTGGAGTGCTTCACAGCCATGATCAATCGATAGGAGAACTTTCCGGTATAGATGTATGAAAACCTTGTTTATTTGACACACAGAGATAATGTTGGACTGTGCCCTCCTGTCCTGCAGGAGCTATTCTCATGAGCAGCAAGTGGCTCAGGCCACGGACCGTTTTGTGAGCACACCTCTTGACTGTAAGCATAACTGGGATATGGTGGACCTTGATTTGACAACAACTTGCTGGCAAATTAACGCTGTTCCTTTTATTTAGGACAAGGCAGGACCTCACAAGGAAATCTACCCTTATGTCATCCAGGAACTTAGACCAACTTTGAGTGAACTGGGAATCTCCACTCCAGAGGAACTGGGCCTGGACAAAGCATAAACCTTACTTATCGGTAAGGCATACAGTATCCTTGGCATGGGACTCCTGTACCTTGCAACTCTCCTGACAAAGACAGAATATCCTTTCTTGCCTTCATGAACTACGCAGCCTTTCACAGATTCGGTCTTGTACCGTGATTCTCATGAAACTTGCAGTTTGTGACATTGGTGAATTTGGTAATGAGGAAACTATTACTTTAGTGACATTGAAATGTTTATGGCCGCGTGTCAAGAAGTGTAAATCTGAGGTGGGGTTTACAGTTAATTCCTTAGCTGTAGTCTTTTCCTGGGAAATTCGAGCATTTGAGGAAGAATTGGATTTCATTATTAAACTTGATCGTGGTTTAAGAGGAAAGACTTGCTGCACAAAACAACCTCTGTGGGCCTGTTCAGTCCTAAAATGTTTGCTGTGGTATCTGTTGCCTAAAAGTGAGGGAAACTCTGTAGAATCTGGAGTGCCCATTCCTTAACGGAAAAAAATCAAGATGGTTCACCAAATGGCTGTATAAGTACAGATCTTCTAGAAAAGGCAATAGAAGGTTTTTCAAAGAAGGTTTGAAAATAAATAGTACAGCTACTTGAGGGGAGGATGGGGTAGCTGGCAACAGTACTCAGCCTTCAAGAGATTTCTGGATAGCAGTTGCTAGAAATATCAAGGCAGATCTAAATCGTATTGCCAAGGCAACAGATACTGCAGCACTTGTTTGGCAGTATGTAGACCTTTGCTCCTCATTAGCTTTTACTGGCAAGCATTTTTAGCAAAGGGGAGGATCACTTCCTCTGGAAGTACACACGCGCTCAGTTCATTGTCACAGACTAGCCAATTTAGAAAACTGGGAGACACTAAATACTACCTTATGCTAGGAAATGGCCCCATTGATGCTAATGACCCAACAACATTGAAGTTTCTTTATGCTGCACTTAAAGTACCAGTGTTTTTTCTTTGATTCAGAACTAATTTGGAGGACGCTTTGCTTACAGAATAAACAGATCAGCTCTAGTATAGCCAGAGCTTAAGTGCTCTGTGAACAGAACTTTTATTTAGTCTCAGTAGATAACTTCAGGAACATTGCAGGTAGCGTCTGAGGCCTAATGGCCTCAAGTCTCAGAAAGTGAGCGGCTTTCCTTTTTGGCTGAAATTCTGAGTGGAAAATGAGTATAACTAAAACATCCAGGTTTCCATAATAAATACCAGACTCTTACCTAACTTGTTCTAATCCTAGAATAAAGTGAAGCCCCAAATAAAAATTCTGATGGAACTGAAGCTATAAAGAAGTAGTCTCTTAACACATCAGTTTATTCAGGGGAAGGCCGTGTTGACGTTGTGCAGCCCTCTCTTTTTTTCTAAATACCTATATGTTGTTCTTAAAATTGATCCGTGAAGTCTCAGGCTGCAAGTAGTAGTAAACTCTGCAACTTTTCCTCCATGCCCTTCTTCCCCTGGGATATGAAGTCTTGGTGCAATGGGGTACAGGTACTGGGAATGCCGTAACTGTATTTGGGGGTTGAGTGTGGTTAAACTGGGCTTTGCAAGTGTAAAAGTGAAGAATGGAAATAACTTATTTGTGACCCCGTGAAACCATGTGGAAAGCTCCTAATCTAATGGCTTTTCTGTTCTTTTCCAGGTGGATCACTCGTGCATTTTACTGATGCTATTTGATTGTATGCAGTCCTCTGGAGACATAAATGTTAAAATATTACATTATTTGAAATAACTTCTTCCTTTATTGAGTCACAATGTATGTGATGTGAAGTTGGACCTAATAAAGGAAAAACTGTTTTGACTGATGTGGTGTGTGATTTGTTTGTTTGCTTTGTTTAGTGGGAGGAAAAGGGAGGGACAAAACAGAAGTGTACTCTCCTAAGAGCAAAAGGAAGAGCAAACTTGCCTGCCCTGACTGAATGCCTTCAGGGAGATGGCTGATTTCCTAATCTAACTGTAGTGTTAGCTTAGAGGTACAGCATGCCAAGAAACTTGTGGTGTTTGCAAGACAGTGTCATCCTGACTTTGTCACGCTAGTAAAGCAAAATGTTCTTATTTGTTTCTTTTTTTTTTTTTTTAATTGGAGAAAAACACCCATGCCCTGTTCTGGGATGGGATTTAATGTGCACCCAACTTTTTGTGCTAATTGGCATCATTGCTGGGCTTTGAATTGAACAGGTAGTGTCAATAATGCCTTTTCATGAATATTTTCTTCTACCCCTAGCAGCTTTTTGCCATAGCTATTCTCTGTTTGCAGGACCAGGTTTGGAAGCCTTCAGAAGTTGGTGCAATGAAATACCTTGAATCTGACTTCTTTGCTGGCTAGACAGTACTGAAGACATGAGCCTTGTGAATATGTTTGTAAGCTAGAGCCTGCGAGGGTGAGAATCAGTTGCTTTTATGCAGTACAGCAGGTTGCTTGGTCGTTATCTTGCTGGCTCTGTATAAGGGCCTTGGTCTTTGTATGCAGAGTGATTAATGGTAGCCAATTGCTCCCTCTGGATATTACAAGTCATGGTGAATTCTGTGACAAAGTGGATGGATGGGGGGAAATGAAGTGTAATATTATGCATTGCTGTATTTGCTAGGTCAATGGAATTTATCATTCCAATTGAAAAGATTTTTCCCCAAACACTGAGATAGTGTGTCCTTCTCTTCTGCCCGCTTGAAAGCTGTTGTTCTCATAACTAGATACTTCACAAAGCTCTAAAAGCCACTGGAGTAGATACCTGAACTACCAAGGGCTTCCTTTCAAAACGGAGGCATGTTTGGAGCAAGCCTGCTGTGTTGTGGCAGCTCGGAGGCTGGACTCCACCGCGCTTCCCCGGTCTGAGCGCTGCCCGAGCTCTGCCACGGCCGAGAGGTGGAGCAGCGGGGCTGTGCAGTCACAACTGCTAAATGCAACTGGAGATCCTCTTCATCTTGCCTGTGCATTAGTGCAGTGAGCCCTGCCCTGCTGTCAGGACAGAAGGGGAAAGGGATACTAATGGTCTTTCATTCTTTGCTAGCCAGAGAGGAAGCAGTTACTTGTCATGACTTCTGTCAGCTGTGCACTGCTGGCTGTTGCTGTTTTGAAGTGATGAGTGTCCAGACGTGATCATGCAAGCAGTGTTAGCTCCAGATTTGCTGCTGTGTGGGTGCTCTAGCAAACCCAGTGGTCTAGAAACATCACTATGCCTCTAGCATAGTGCTTACTAGGTTGAAATACCTTCCTGAAAACGTGCTCCAGCACCTAGGGCAGGGAGGAAGAAGGCTTATGAAGCATTACTTGCTTCCTGTGCTTTGCTGCTTCTAGAGGTTGCAGAGCCCGTGGCTCCCCCTGGGCCTTGCCTGAGCTTTTAGCTCCACCTTCGGGAGGCAAAAGGTAAAGATTCGCTTTTCAGACATGACGAAGCGCGCAGGTCCTGGTTGCACGCAGGGCTTTGGAGAACGGGAGAACCAAGAGCTTGCAAAAAATCTCACCAGCCTCGGACATAAAAAGAAGGGGCTGCAGGCAGCCCGGCGGGCAACGGCGCATGC